TCATTTATATATGTATGGTATGGCTGTGTTATCTTTTCGTCTTGAAACGCATAAATTGACACAAACTATCGAGGTGCTGGTAGAATAAAATTCATTTGTACGACTCGTTTTGGATTTGTGGAATGTCATTTTTATATCACTTGCGACGGAATACTGAAACGAAGTTTAAATGGTTTAACACCAAATTCTATTAAAATTCAACTACTTTCAGATTGGGAGCTACGCTTGCGAAGAGAAATGTTTAAGATTCGTTTCAGTATACTTCCGCAAACATATTTAACACTAAATCTCTAGATAATGTTATGATTATAAATATTTATACGGATAGACTGAATATTTTTAACTGTTTGGTCGAAATTTACTAGCGGCATGGATTACTTTTTTTTACAAACGAATCTTGATAGGTTATGTATAGTACAGAGAACGGAAAATAACTCGATAAGAAATAGCGCATGTGTAAAATAACTAATTAATAGTAAAAGTTGAAGCAATCGCGGAAATGTACAAATTATAGTGACCTAACTGTATTCTGCAAATGGACTTTTAGAAAGAGACAATACGATGAAGGCTTTGTAGAGCGTTGTCTCTCTCGCACATGGAGTAAATGTTATTTGTGCGACAGAGGTAGCAGAAATATGAAATGACGCGTTATCTCTCTCACACATAGGTAGTACTTCTGACTAAATGGTTTGTGCGAGAGCGATAGCGTTATAAGGAACCGAAAATATCGTTATCTCCCTCAAATAGGTTTATGTGACGTAGCGCATTGTGGGATAGAGACAGAGCTATGTAAATTGGTCATTTGTCTCTTTCTAATGGTCGATGTGCAGATTTCTTGATAAATTTATTGTGATTGTACGTTGCAGTTGATATCAATTTAAATAAATCAATAGGGAATGTGTATAAAGTATTAAATAGTGAAATAATATAGATTTTGTATCGTTATTTGGAATGACCATATTTCACTGTAGTCTTTTTTTAGTTCGTGCGAATTTGAATGGAATGTTAGGAATGTAACTGGACATTTATTTGAAAATAAATTCATTAACTTTTTTGTATCTTTCAGAAGTTTACTAATTTTACATAATATATAATTAATGGATATAATTTTTAACAATATGACGTTGGCAATCGTATGTACTTGGCCATAAATAAAAAAAATACATATATAGTTATATAGATATTTTTAAAATATAATAGTATAGTAGCCGACATAGTATACTTTGAACCGCCGTCCTAAGCAACTGACATATCGCAAAGGCATCAGTTTAAACCTGCACTACCCTCCCCTCCATACCCACTATTTTTGTAGTATTGGTATTCTTTGTAGCTTACCCACGAGTATTCTTTGTAGCATGCTTAAACGCATGCTACCAAAATATAAGCATCCTTGCATGATATATGCACGAAGTATGCTATCTTCGAATTCTACGTGGTATATAAAAGTACTAGCATACTATGCAATTCTATGCATGCTGACGTAAGAATGGTATACAGTTAATGCGAAGAATGCTATCGATTGAGAATGGTTTCGAGTACAACTGAATGGTTTAAAGTAAAGGCTAGATTGAGTGAACGAATGAACATCGATTTGATGTAATAGTGAATGACTGGAATGATACTCGTAACGAAAGTTGGAATTTTGTGTAAAAATCGCAGTCTTCGTGTCTTCCTCATTTAAAATGGCTGACGTGAAATCGACGGGTAAATTTGTTGCATTAAAAACTTTAGCGTCCCGTTCACAGTGTCATTTACTGTACAATAATTGATTTTGACTTGAATTGATGAAACATTTGTACTGTTCGCTAGATGTCGCTGTCATCGATATATATTAACATTGCAACAGGGTTCTTTGTGTACATAGTCTTTTTATAAATATCTCTGTAATACGCCCTACCATATTTTCTTAGTAGAAATAGCCATATTACCCAATCCCCATTTAATATCCGCTTCAATCATTTTACTTTATTTGGCAGATGTCATAAAATCTATTTATATTGTAATAAATTAATGAAAATCATTATTAAGTGGTATATTTGTTACGTATCTATAGTTGAATAGTTCACGCATTTACGAAGAAACCTTCCGAAATTTAAAAAAAATCAATTTTGCCGTATTTTTTTAGGTTAAGTAAATTGTTAATCTGACGATACTGTTGATTCTTGTAAATGTAAATATATTATTGAATATTTTTTCTGTTTAAAATCTAAATTATAACTCCTCCTGTGAAATATGTGTGAAATAAAAAGAATACTGTAATATACATAAAGAGTAGTTTTATTTCCAACCTTAATACGACGGTGTTGTTTGTAATAAAAAAAAATGTTATATGTTACCAACACACTAAAATCAAGTCCCACGATTTTTCAGTAGATTTTTTAAATAACTCGTTCGTTATACTGGACACTATCCAATGAAGGGGTAAATATACATTGACCAGAAATATAAAATGTCTTGCCGTATTGTGGGAAAACCTGGAACTAATTACTTTGCACAATGCTCAAAATATCTCGTCCAGTGATCCTTATTTCAGAAACTAAAACTTAGCATGGTATATTATTTGAACATCCTATAGTAATTTACAAAGTAAGCTTTCATGATTTTAAAAATACCATTAAATATGCAAACAAACCGTTGAACACACTGTATTATCTTTTCATTTCTAGATGCAATATTAATATAATTATACCTTCTTTACAAACCTGTAATTTTATCGTCAACCGCACTGTGAATTTCACATAAATAAAGATAATTTACCCTTCACGGCTGCAGCCCATAGGGGTAAGCAAACGGTCTTTTACAATTTCTTTAAAACGATTTGACCATCGTGAGTTTTGAATATACTTGCTAATCGCCTAATCCTCACGAGAGTAGAAACCACTGACATCTACAAATTTGTGGCGTTTTGACATTTTGACGTTGAAGGTAGCGTTTGCCGGTTCCGTAGGGATGGAGTCGCGGGCGAATGCTAGTAAAAAATTAAGGCTGATTATTTGTTTCAGTTTTATACGGAAACAAATTGTAAGTATACCATTACCTATATTATTTCATAAATTTTTATAATTTGTCTATTTTCTAGATCGAATCTGTAGAAAATTCACGAAGGCGATATTTCTATGCAGCCTTGAGCAAACGAAATATAAAACATTTAAATTGAACACAATATTTTAATGAACATGCATCTGAATAAATTAGTGCAAATACTTGCTTTTTTTTGTATTTCAAATGTGTAGCCTGTTATTTTTATGTCAAGCACACCAATAACTTCTCATAGCTTACTCTAATTATGACTTGCTGACCACATTCCGTGTCAATTTGTAATTATTTTTTTTTCACTCTGGTCTCTATATATTGTCGATTTTGCTAAGAATTGTTTTTATTTTCCTTTTGTCTTTAAAGTTTTATACAATGGTATTGAATTTTGAAAATGAATTTCGTCTTTCGACTGCCGCGTTACGGTTTAACGGCATCCATCCAGATTCACATCGTGATAAGAAATGGTTGATTCAGTTCAGCTTTTTTAACTCCGTGTGCTTTATTGTGGTGTATTTCTTTGCTCATTCAATTATTTATCATGATATAAACAATAGTAAATTCGCGGAGGCAATTCAAAACGGATCTTTCGTCATCGTATCTTTATCGATACCGTATTACAATTATTTAGCAATACATCACAAAGAACATTTTAAAAAATACTTCGATACTATTGATGAATATTTATCAGAAATAGAACAATATAAAAAAGAAGAAAGAGAATTAGTGTTGAAATATTCAAAGATGGCGAGTAAAGTTTGTAAATATTGGTGTTATTCTGTTTCTATAGCTACATCGACATTTCTTCTTAGATCTGCGTATTTAATGATCTTTTCATACATTCAAGGCGAATTTAAATTCGCTCAGATGTTCGCGATTACGTATCCAAAATGGATAGAAAGTAACAGGGATAATGTTTACGTGTTTTTATGCTTGTTTTCCCTTTCTTTCATTTTTGCGATTTACGCAACTATTGTCTATGTTGGCTTCGATCCTTTGATATCAATATTTGTGCTACAAATTTGTGGTCAATTGGAAATTTTGAGCCATCAATTGTTGGCATTAAATCAGTTGACTGATCAAAATGAAATTGTCCAAAATTTAAAGACTATCAACATTAAATTGCAGGGCTTATACAGGTACACTCGATAAAATCTTTACTTTAACTACCTTAAAAACGGATTTTAATTTTCATTATTATTTACAGATTTGTAGATTCTCTTAAATCGAACTTTATGATCTTATTCGAGTATCAAATTAAATTAGCGGTATTTTTGGTGCCTTTCGCTCTATTTCAAATCTTTCAAGTAAGTCAACGTTATTTATTTTTATAAAAAATGGAATATTAGTTATCATTCACTAAGAGATAACATTTTTTTAAAATAATTCTGTTAATTTCTTTTGTAGCATTAGAATTGTTTCATTTGTCATTTATCGTTAATTACAATATCGTTGAATTTCAGTCTCCTATGTTTTTAAATGTTTTTAAATAAATAATTGTCTCTGCTTCTGCTAGGAGGGGTTATATTATGTTTATATAAATGTTGTGACAGTGGAAATCGACAGTTCTTCATTCCTACAATATTTGTTTTATTCCAGTCGCTGTATCGCCTCGAAGTCAATACGGAGTTTATTGCTTTTCTATTCTCCTGCACTATTCGTTTATTTTTGTCTTGTTACAACGGCAATCTTCTAGTTCTTGTGGTAAGAATATTACTATTAAGTTTAATCTTATGAAGAATAATAACACGGCTTTGGGCTAATTTATTAGGTAGAGATATAGAGTTGTCTTCTTTGGAATGATCACCATAATATTTCAAATAAACTTTTTTTGTTTGTTCAAATCATAGACTTGACTTGAATAATATTGAGTATGTAATTTGCACCCTCCATTAAAGCTTTAATTTTTTTAGATTTTTTAAAAAATGCATCAATAAACTCATCAGTATTATTATTTTGTAAGACAGCTAAACGGGAATTTGTTAAAAACGCTAGAAACACGCTATTAACTTGCAATTTTTACTGTTTACTGTTAAGTTTCTAACCTATAATTTCATTGCGAATCGTATTATAAATTTGTATCATAACGATATAATTATTGCTTTATTATTCTGTAATTTTATACCACCGTCAACTTTTCTTGTCACATTATTAGTTTACCAGTCTTTTTATTGCACATAACCTAATCAACTGTCATCGGAGTTGTTAGCAAACATGTTAACATTTGAAAGAACATTTAATATTTCTTCTCACGCTCTACGTTTTAGCGGAATACATCCGAAATTGGTACGAGATAGAAGATGGCTTTTGAGATTTGCATTTATCAGTATCGTGTCTAGCAGCATTGTATTCTTTTTCGCAAATTCTATAATATGTTATGATATACCCAACAAAGAGTATGCGAAAGCGATTAAAAATGCATCATTGTTGATCGTATCTTTGACTATACCATATAAAAATATTCTAGCTTTGTATTATAGGGATGAATTGAGAAATTGTATTGATATGCTGAATGCAGATTATGAAGGAATTGATCGACAAACAAATGAAGAACAATTACTAATCATGGAATATTCCGCAAAAGCCATTAGTGTTTGTAAACTATATTTTTATTCTGTTCTAATGAGTGCTAGTGTATTTCCTTTGAAAGCTTCTTATTTAATGCTTGTTTCTTACATAAAAGGAGAATTTCATTTAACTCATATATATGATATTACATACCCAGAAGTAATAGAAAAACAAAAGGATGTTATATATGTGTATTTTTGTTTGTTTTTAATATCTTTGATTTTCACGATCAATGGAAGTTGGAATTTTTTCGGATTCGATCCTTTGGTATCGATTTTTGTACTACACGTTTGTGGTCAAATTGAAATATTGAGTAGAAAAATTATATCACTTTCTGATATGAATGAAAACGAAATTATTGAAAATTTAAAGGTAATTAATAAAAAGCTGCAGGAGGTATACAAGTAAGTAAAGAAATGTAATAATTTTATCTTTACTTTGGGCTGTAATGAAAAAGTGAGAAAATATATTCTCCTTTCTTTAAATTACAGATTTTCAAAATCTCTTAGAACAAATTTTATGGAAGTATTTGAATTACAAATAAAAACAACGATCTTTTTGTCATCGTTTACTTTTTTTCAAATTGTCCAAGTAAGTAAAGTTGTATAATCATATTTCAACAATAATAACAAAACATTACAGTTCTGCCTTACATTATTAGAGCTAAAAAAACGCAGTCAAATTAAAACCTTCTTTATTCTGAAGTCGGTTCATAAATTTTTAATGGTAAGATTTAAAACTTGCGTCTAAGGAACTAGGTGATTTTAGCAGTAAATAATTTCTTAACATTTTAGTCACTGTATCGTCTTGAAATCAACTTGGAATTCACGCTAATGTTATTCGCCTGTACTCTACATTTCTTTATAGGATGTTACTATGGTGATTTTCTAATGCAAAAGGTACTTTTTTTACATTTAATATTCTCGTCACTTTGTTATACATTTTATCAAGACAACACAAATATCTATGGATTGGCAATTGATAATCGGGCAAAAAGTAAATCTGATATCTCTACCTAGTAAATATCTAGTTTACTGAAAATAGACCACGATTTTAATTTTTTAACAACTGATTTAAATGTAAAAATGAATATATGAAAACAAGGTCGTAAGTACAATTCATTACTTATTTAAATTTATTTTAGATCACTATATTTTAAAATTGATTTTACTGGGAATTTTCCAGGGTATGAAGCTTAGAGAATCAATTTACTGCTGCGGTTGGGAGAAACAATCTAACATAAAAATAAGGAAGACTGTATTGTTTATGTTGACAAGATGCAATAATCCGCCCAGCATAAGATCTGTTTTCTATCCAGTTAACCTCGAAACATTCTCTGAGGTATGAATTGATTTTACTCTCGATTCTTATTATCGATGTGCTCGAGCCTACCTCAAGCTACATGTTATGAAAATCTAAATCCGAATAGAATTGCAAAATACATGTTTAGATTTTATTACGAGATAGAACTTTAATTACATTAATAAACCAGCTTATGCACACGACTCCGTCCGCGTGAAATGAAAGTCAGCCTATCTGTTCATCCATACTATCCTCTAAAACTATGTCAATTTTCATCGAGATTCGTTCAGCAGTTCTGGCTACAAACTCTTAAAATATCCAACTAAACTTTCACATTTATGATATGATTAAGATTAACATATGTTTCTATTACAGGCGTGCCGGCAATCATACGCTATATTCAATATTATGAACGCAGCGTGGTCCTAACCTCTGAAATGTAGATTACAAATGTCATGTAAACTTTTCACGTTTACATTAGTGAAACACATGTTTTTGCACGATCTAACTGCGTTACGCTTAAAGTTTTGTCATACAAAAAATATATGTCTAGACTCTCTAGTCAAGTTGTATGTTTAGCTTTGTTTAGCCTCTTACTATAAATAAAGAATAACAAAAAGAATATAGAACTTGTATCACTTCCTCTTCAAAATACCGTAAAGCTACAAAGATGACAGGCAGAGATTGGACACGTATTGACTCGTAATATCTGTTCACCTGTGAGGCATTGTCTGAGATTCCATAAAGGTTTTAATATAGAAAGAAACAGATTATTAAGAATTGCATAATTATAAAATCATTTAAACTGTTCATTTCGCTAGATTACTATAGGGACAAATAAATGGTAGTAAACATTTCGGCTTGTTAGAAATTCTTGCTTTTCAACCTTTTAAAAATTAGAAAAATTCCCTGTAAATTTGATAGATCTGTAACAGTTCTGAAATTGAAAAAAGTTCCCGAGATAAGTAGTAAGTAAGTACCTTAAATAAACAAAGAAAAATACATAATCGGCTGGTTAAAATTTCTTAAAATGAGTAATACGTTAAACCATTTTCATAAGCCTAAAATGAAGGTAGTTCACGAAAGTAATTTTAAAATTTTAATTTCTGAATTCTGTCTTGTTATATCCTCGTCGAAAATTTTCTAATAATCAATTAATTAACTAATGAAAAGTTAAATGAACTTCTTTTGTACAAGTTATCGACTTGCCAAATTCTTGAAACAACTAAAGTTTATTACTTGGCCAACTCTTTGTTCATAATTTAATTATCCTTTATACATCTTAATAATACTTTGTGGAAATCTTGTTTGCGGTTTAATAGTGATAAACGACCTGTAAAAATATGAGTGCTATTATTTAAAAGTTTTAAAACTGTTTAACTTTCTGTGCCTTAGTTTTTATCACGTATTTGTACTATGAGTGTGAATGACTATGAGTAGGACTATGAGTTGAGTTGTCCCCCCTGCTATCCGAAGATCATGGTAAGAAGCTTCATTAAATTGTTTTTCTAATGCTTCTTAAGATTAATAAAAATATATAGCATTTATTCTTAATTAATTATTTCCGTTCCTTGCGAAAAGAAATGAAGCAACCGTTCCTAAATAAATTGGTTTAGGCAGGGTTTGGTGTAACTTCAACAATTTACAGGCCCACCCTAGAGAATAAATAGCAAGGGTGTTTTCCACCACCAAAAAACTTGAAATTGCGCCGTCTTTCCTGCAATTTATTTTCTTTACTGACAAAACCTTAATCAGCAAAACTCGTCTCTTTTCTAACGAACAGCTTCGTTGCTGTTTTTTACATTATATTGAAATAAGATATTCAATAAGAAGTCATAGAAGTTTATTCTAGAAAATTCGTAACAATATATCACGTATTAGCTTTTATGTTGTTTTTAATCAGTAAATCTAATATACCCTATATTTTAGATTTGAAATGTACATTAAATAACATTAAAATCATCTGTTCATATTTAAATTTGATATACCTCCCTCAGTGTAATCTCCACGGAAAGTCGCTTCTCAATTACACCTACTTCCTCGTTCGTGATAATTTATTACAAACAAACTCCCTTATTTGCATTACATCTACATAATAAATAACAATTGTTTTTGAATTTCTGATGTTTTATTAAAGTTGGAATGTTCATGTTTACATTAGGAGCCACGAAAATCAGTATTCACAAATCTAGAAATGCAAGTGAAAATACGAAACATCGAGGGTATTACGTAGATAACTAACTGATATACTCTACACTTAATGGTTTATGCAAATTAAGCTAGTAATCCTAAAAAATCATGCAATACTAAAACGTTTTATCATTGTAGACGAGATGTAGGTTTTCGAATTTTTGTTTGCTTTTTTATTAGACTTTATTACAATATAATTTTCAAATTGTTTATGGGCCATTTTTTGTATATTGTGCAAGTAAAGTCAAAGCAAGTTGTTGCTCGAACGAGAAGCAACTTGAGCTACATTTTTAATTAACTCGGTAACATAACATAACTATGTTTATTTTTATTCCTATTTTGATGTTGAGTTCGCAAACTTTGTTTTTTCTATGTAATTCTGGAGCGTATTTTAAATTGTAAATTGTAAAGCAACGAAAATGGAATATGATTTTTAATGAAGTTAAAACTTTGCAACTGCAAGGATTATTCCAAACCGTCTCCACGCTCTGTCCCCACGTGAGAATAAAAAGATTCATCAGTACCACTTTTTAGTCCCACTATCACCAATAAGGTGACAGATGAAACCGTTATGAAATAAAATAAGTTCCAACCGTCTCTTCGTCGCAAAAGGGGGGGATGGATGAAACTTTTTATTCTCATCTGTCTCCACGTGGGGACAGAGCAGGGTGACGGTTGGGCATACTCCAACTGCAACGCCTCAGTGGATAAGTCCAACCATGTTACATTATGTAACGCAATTTCCATTAATGCTCGAAAAATGTGTCCAATGGAAAACGTGTTTAACTTGTTACCGACAGCGCGGCAGCCAAAAATACAAAACACTTTTTATCAAATTAATATAACTATATTCAAAAACTTATTTACACAAAATATATACAAAAACTCAAAACTCTCTCGATTACATCTTGACTTGTTCCTTTATATATTTTCTTTTACAAACGATTATTGCCTCGGTAGCCAGTATGCAACCTCTTTGGCTGTATACATACTGCTTGTCAGCCAAACAGGTTGTATTTTGCACTCAACAAAACGAACCTTAAAAGTTGATGAGAAATTAATAAACGCTATGACTGCTATCAACTTCAGGTCGTATATATTCTAAATAATTAAGTATTATAATAGCTTTCGCTCGCGATTTTGTCCTTGTGAAATTAAAAGAATAATAAAAAACATAACCTATTTTACTCACACATAAACTACCTTTCTAACGGTGAAAGAGTATAGATATAGATTATCGAATGGAATGTAGTGTTTATACCTTACGTGATTTCTGCTTATTTTAATGTTACGTTAAAATTATTTAATTATTTTGTAATAATTAACTCAAAAGTTATCATGACTCTCGTAAGCATAATTTATTATATCTTTAGCTTTATTATAATAATAATGTTAGTACAGATAAATGCAAAAGTTTAGATAGTTAGACGGATGGATGTTTGTCAGAGTTTGTAGCCTAAATTGCTGAACAGAACTCGATGACATTGGGCATAGATATAGGAAGAGTAGGAAGAACACATCGGCTACTCACTTTAATTCCACGTGGAATCGCGGGCAAAAGCTAGTAATGAATAAATTACAACCTCGGCATGTTGATATTAATATGTATTAATAAAGTAACAAAAGCGGCAACAACTGGCTTCTTTTATGAAAATTTTTGTTGGCGTCTCTCAGCGCGGCGCATCAAATTAATATTCCTAAAAGATTACCCGCAGAGCTCATACGAAGCTTTGAAAACCGTTATTGAAAATAATTCTAGCGCACGTTATTAAACTTAGTATATTAAGTTCTAAAAATATCCTTTACCCGTACATTAATATTATCTACACAAGTTCTTAAAGTTATACCGCTCGGTTTACCGACGACGACATGAAGGATTTTCGATGTGCCCTTTAGGCAGTCATGAGAGCCAATACCGGGTTAACCTTTACTTAAGTTTGGTAGTTTTAAATTCCTCCATTAAAATGTAGGAATTTTTAAACAGTTACATTAGGAGAATGCATGAGGCAGTTGGTGTTTTTTTGGAGTGTAGTTTGATCCGTATTTTGACATGATTTCGCCACTAATGACATTATAGAAGTACAATTCTATGGCTAACTTTTTTATTTAATCAATGGTTAATAACTCTTCGTAAATATTGTTATTATTGATAGCGTATACAGTTTGTGTGGTTACGGTTTGATTGTGTCCTTACCACACGTTACCAACGATCCTTTGTGGCCGGAATGTCATGTAATTTAGACAAACAAAGCAATAGTAATAGCGTGACGTAATCAGGCCGGTTAGTGGTTAATGTGGACATGACACGCACATTATCAACACCTTTGCATAGCACGAAAGGGTTATTTAGCAATACTTGGCTAGAATTTTTAAAACTGCAGCCGGTGTTTGAAACCTAATGCAGTCAACGTTTTACTATCTAATATTTTCACTATCATTGTCTAAACTAAAGGAATCAAAGATAGTACAGATATCCCTTCTAGATACTTCTACACTAGGAGACTGCTTAAGTATAATTAAAGACTCTGAGTGTGACTGTAAGAGTTTACTTTTGATAATTTTGAGACTTGTTTGTATTCAAATAAATTATTTGTTATCAAATACTTAATATTTGTGACGTTTTTTGTAGATTATTGTGGTAAGGTATATCCTTTGAACATGGTAGACATTGTATCTTATAAGGAAGTACAAATACAAACAAACAATAAACGTATAAATGTCAGTAATGAGCTCTAGTAAACAGAACTCGGTACAAACAGACTTCAAAGTTAACAAGTTCTCAACTAGACTTGAAGTTCATCTAGTACCAAAGTACTAGTAGTAAATTTTATTGTCTTGACTGCAGTTTTTAACAAATTTATGATGAACAACTAACTGGTTAGCATCTAAACACTAGATTCCGTCTAACATGCTCAATTTAGCTAAACGATTTCATGTTGTTTTGTGTTTGATTACTATTTTTTTTCTGAAAATGTTCTGGAAATGTTAGCAAATTCAAAAAGAAACCACATCTTCACTGCAAATAGTGACGTTCATTAAGAGTTAAAACATTATTGGGTACAATAGTGATGTCTGATTAATAAATCGATAATGTTACTTTTTTCCAGTCTGAAATAACTTTTATACTAATGGTAAGTAGAGTATAATAATGTAATGCATTTGTGATATGCAATTATCGTACAACTTTTTTAAGAACAATATTATTTTTGCCTCTGTAATGTCAAAGAGAAATTGAGGGAAAACAATATATTTTGCTACACTTGTATCGCCAGTAAGACAGATGTCTTCGAAAGGCAGCAGTATGATATATTATATTACTACGATGAATATTGTTTAAAAGATCAGAAGGAGTCGAACCTGTTTGTAATCGACATTTTTAGCAACGCATTCTTTTCTGAATCGTATCACATCCCTAGGGATGCTATACAGGACGGGTTCGTTTTGACGAAGCTCTTTGACGTTGAACTCGATAATTGACGCCGAGCGGCTGCCGTTGTAACTAACGATAATCGCAAACATCCATACTGTTTAATCAGATACCGAATTGGAACTGCATTTTACGTTAACTACGAAGGTTGTATGCTCAGTGTGCTGTATAATACTGGCAGCTAATGAATCAAAGAAAAATAACACAGAAAAATAAGTGTCAGTTAAAAGCGATTTTTCTTAAAAACACAGTTCTCAAATTCATATCTCCTTAAGAAAAAATCCATTAACCTAAACAAAGAAAAAGAATAATCGTATCAATAAGTAATAAAAGCAAAAGCGTTTGCCCTGAAGCACACGTTCAAAAGTAGATAATATCAAAAGCAAAATTTTCATTTTAGACAACAATATCAACTCGAAACAAGTCAGAAAGGGCAACAACAACAAACATTACTGTTTATGGAGTCAGCCGCAGTTGCGCCGTCACAAACTTTTGCTCACCGTCATAACAAAGTCATAACCTGACAGATGTAAACACTGACCCTCATAAAGCCAGGCGCTCCTCAAAACTTTTGCTCAAAAATTATTTTTAAAATATTTTTGACGCATCGTGAAATAAGACTGGTATGCATTGATAAAAGTAGCTGTTGCAATTTTTTACTCTTTGCATTTTATTATTTAATCTATGACAGTTTTGTGATTAGTTTAATGAAACTGTTTTGAAGATTTTATTATAAGTCTTCGCCACATTCCTTAGGGGTAATTAGTGTGTATCGTACTAGTTGAATTGGTGGTTTCTTATTCATCTACCTTACATAAACCTTTTACTGTTAAGAATTTGAAAATAGTTACCTAAAATAAGGTATGTCCTCCATTTTGCATACGATGTTTAGACATAGCTTCACAATTCACAACATATTCATCGGTACAAACAGTTTTCGCTTCGTCGCTTCCGAGCTAAAAGCGTTTTGAAACATTTTTGCAAACTGTTCCTTTGACGATTTTGTTTCATCGTGTACAATAAAAAAAACTTTAGTTGACAATTTAAAAGGATAACAATAAAAATTGAAAAGTATTGTGAATACATCATACATCATAGGTTGTTCCGAAATTTAATTACTAATTTTCGGCCGAGACTCCGTCGAAACGAATGCAAGTAGCTTGTGTGTTCTTCCTGACTATTCTTTACATCTATGCCAAATGTAATCGAAATCCGTTCGGCCGTTTAGGCTACAAACTCTAACAAACATCCATCCATCTAAACTTTCGCATTTCTAAGATTTGCAATAAAGTTGTAGGAATCTAAGTAGAGTTATAAGTTTTTTTTTT